TCTGAAAGCATACTTTTGCTCATTTTTACCAAGTTCTTGCATTTGCAGACAATCTATGGTTACAACTGATCAACAAATATAACTTTGGGGACGGGGCTGTGGCTCAGTGGTAGAGCGCTTGCCTAGCATGCCTGAGGCACTGGGTTTGATCCCCCATACCACATAAAAATAAACAAATAAAGGTATTGTGTCTATCTACAATTAAAAATTAAAAAAATAATAAATATAACTTTGACGTGAATGTTGATGTTTCCATTTTCATTAATGAGTAACACAAGCACCAGACAACTCCTTTGTACATCAAACATCACCTGGCTACCCAGGCATGGTGGTGCACACATCCCTGTGATGCCAGCAACTCAGGAGATTGAGACAAGAGAATCACAAGGTCAGGACCCATCCCGCATCTCAGCAAGACCCTGTGTCAAAATAAAAAATAAAAAGTGTTGGGGAGGTAGCTCAGTGGTAAAGCTTCCCCATGGGTTCAATCCCCAGTGCCCCATCATCCCCCCAAAAGTTGGGGAGGTAGCTCAGTGGTAAAGCTTCCCCATGGGTTCAATCCCCAGTGCCCCATCATCCCCCCAAAAGTTGGGGAGGTAGCTCAGTAGTAAAGCTTCCCCATGGGTTCAATCCCCAGTGCCCCATCATCCCTCCAAAAAGTCACTTGGCTAAACTGGATAATAGTTTTCAAACATTAGAGAATGTTTACTCATGTGTTGGTGCCATTCGTGATGCAATGGCCACATTTTTAAATCACATTAACACTTTGTTCATCACTTTCATATGTGCAGATAATCAACTAAACAATTATGTAGTAAAATAATTATGAAGGAGAGGGTTTTGAGTGCTATCTTTGCTTTTCTCTCCCTCCTTCCCTTCCTCCCTCCCCCCTCGCCCCCTCTCTTTTTTGGTACTGAGGATTGAACCCAGGGGCACTTAACCACTGAACCACATCCCCAGCCCTTTTCATATTTTATTTAGAGACAGGGTCTCACTAAATTGCTTAGAGCCTCACTAAATTGCTGAGGCTGTCTTTGAACTCATCATTCAGCCTCCCAAACCGCTGGAATTACAGGCATGTGCCACCATGCCTGGCTTACTTTTGCTTCTAATATAACTGTTACATGTAAATGTTACTTATAAGGCAAAAGTCAGATAACAGACATATAATGACTGTTGTAGTTAAAAATGGAGAATAAAAGCCAGCACATAACACGTAGTCAACTCCATCCCACATCTAGAAGCTCCTTTTAAATAAGAAAAAGATAAAGATAAAATATATCACAAATTCTCAGGGTAAAATCTACCATTTCTTAACATGACAGGAAAGTAAATATTTGACCCATAAAGAGACTGGAAGGGGAGAAGCTGGTCTGTGTGCTCCTGTTTTCTTCCGGGAGCAAGTCACTAAGAATGTGTATCTGGAACTGAAGTGTCGGAGTGACAACAGGAACAGGAACAGGACCCAGGTCCCTGCCCGAGGGCTTATAACAGAGGCTCAGTCCAGGCTTTCTTCCAAAAATGTTTTTAATTCCAACATCCATCTTAATGGCCTCCTATAGACTAATTTAGCCAATAGTTGCTATTATACTAAAAATGGAAGCTAATGATTTCCACTAAAAACAACCAAGCCAGTATTATCAAAGAATGTTATAAGAAACTGATTATCATGGGTGCATTTGTTTTCCACTTCCTTTTCCCTGTAGAAAGCCTTAATAAGATTTCCACGTCAAAAGCAAAACCATCTCTTCCTCTCCTGGGACCCGAGAATATTACAAATGTGTTCTCCAGAGGCAGCTGCCCCCAGAGCGCCTCTTCCCAAGACTCACCACACTCGAGGGTGCACCACCTGCGCCTGCTCAGTGTCTGCCATTCAGCACGTGAGGGCACATCAGCTTCCTTCCTTTGAACACCTACAGCACCCAGCACTTGGCTCCGTGCTACATAGCTCTGCACATTTTACGATTTCCCAAATAAGTGCATTTTGAAAGAAGAACAACTTTTAAGGCAAAAGTCAGATCACAGACATATAACACAACTGTCTAACTGGAGGAAACCTGGCCAAAAACTAGATCAAAGGTTTGTAGATGTCACTGCTTGAATTAGCAAGGAATGCTATAAGTGAAGCACATAATTATGATATGATTAAGTATTTTAACTGGCACTGATCCAAGCAGAATTCAGGTTTCTTGAGTCATACCAACATTCAGTTTTAATCTATTTGACATATATACTCTGAAATCATTTATTAGTTTCTATAAAATGAAATTCAAATGTAATATAGAAAATTATCTGTTCCAGGAGGAGTTAATGAAAGGGCTTGTTACAAAGGAATCTCTAAAATTATCAGACAATTACAATAAAGTTCCTGTGAATAATAATTGCAAAGCCTTTCTGCGACATGACCTTAATTAAATGTTTTTAATTTTATAACTTCTAGAAATGAAAGAAATGATTAGCTTTCATCTTCCTCTGAGGAATCCTCATATTGCTATTAAACAATGATGAACTGAATAATTTTTTTGTATTGGGGATTAAACCCAGAAACATTTTACCACTGATTCACATCCCCAGCCTTTATTATTATTATTATTATTATTATTATTATTATTTAAACTTTATTTTTATGTGGTGCTGAGGATCAAACCAAATGCCTCACACGTGTAAGGCAAGCAGTCTATACTAAGCCTCAACCTCAGCCTTATTGTTATTTTTTTATTTCAAGACAGGGTGTTGCTAAGTTAAACTTAAGGTCTCACTAAGTTGCTGAGGCTAGCCTCTAACTTGCAATCCTCCTGCCTCATCCTCCTGAGTCACTGGGATTACAGGAGTATACCACCATGCCTGGCTGAACTGCATAATTTTAACAGAAAGCTCTAGTTTCAGGGCCAACTCAGAATTATTTTCCTGCTTAATGAATCTCCCATTTCCACTTAATGTTGGGAAGCATGTTTTGGGGCCTTTTTCAGGATCCTGACCAAAAGGGTTTCCCAGGCCAGGTAAGAGGTCAGAGAAGCATGTACACACACACACACACACACACACACACACACACACACACACACACACACACGCCTGCTTTCTTCATGTAGCTGCACAATGCGGCCCCCTGCTGTGTCCGTGCCCACCCATAGAACAGAGAGCAAACACAGCAGAGTCCCCAGGGCTGCAAGCACCATGGTCATCTACACCCATGCTGCAGGTCTTACTGATGGCCCCATGATAATTTCCTATAACATTTGGATACCTCAATGGTCTTACCTCATGTGTCATAATGTTATTTTGGATAAATCTAATGGTATCAGATTGAGCAAACATTTTTCTGCCTGTGCCTTAAATTATGGTTTCTTAAATGGAATATCCAATTTATGGGAATAGATTACCTGAGAAAAACTAAGGTAGTGATTTTATTCTAAGTGACCTGTCCCATTATATCAGTGTATTTCCCCGCTAAAGAAACCAAGGAGCATAGACATACTGCACTAACAAAACCATTATTTAAAAAAACCCAAATTTTAAAGATCAGCTAAAAATCTAAATGGCCTGATATTACTTAAGGGTTGTTGATACAATGTACCTTATAGCAGGTTCAGTTTGGGCAACTGGGAGAAGAAAATTCCACTTTCTTTTTCTTTTTGGAAACCAGGGATTGACTCAGGAGCACTTGACCCCTGAACCACATCCCCAGCCTATTTTGTATTTATTAGAAACAGGGTCTCACTGAGTTGTTTAGCACCTCACTAAATTGCTAGGCTGGCTTTGAACTTATGATCCTCCTGCCTTCACTTCCTGAGCCGCTGGGATTACAGGTCCACTTTCTCTTTATATCTGATCATCACTATCTAATTTCAGCCATGAAAAGAAGTTTTAACAGAATCCTAGAGAAACATTTCATTTGGATCATGGGATTGCTTAAAGAAGGATGTGTATTCTGAGTTAAAATCAGGAAAAAAATGTTGGATTTTTACTGTTTATTCAGCATCAATTCACCATTGATTCACACTTCAAGGGTTAATTTCTCAATGCAAAAATTTCCTTTAATGCATATTTTTTTTTTAGTAGAGCTCTTTCCTCCTCTCTGCACCATGTGATCCTAGTCCTTTGAATTGTCCAGGTAAGCCAACTTGCCTCACCAATGCAGCCCCCTGCAAGTACTCTATAGAAGTGGACTCATCAATTAAAAGCCAGGTCAGTACATAGCACAGCTTGAAGAAACTGCCTTCAGTTCATTGCAAATTACCAGGGCAAACATTTGTACTTCAGAGTTGACAAACAGAATAACAAGCCTCAAAGACCATTATCTCTAAAGAGATTTTGTCCTACCAAATTCTACATCCATGTATGGCTCTTATACACTCATGGTTAAGAGTCAAAGATAACAATTAAAGCAACAAATGCCATGGGTGGTAATCCCAAACCACCTGGCCTCTCACTACACAGGCCAACCTGCTTCCAGCTCAGTACTAAGAATATTATTCCAAACAGCCCAGTCAGTGCTGATCTGCAGTTTTCTTAGCAAATGAGGGGCTTCAGATGCCCTAGCAAGGGGTCCCCTGTGTCAAAACTTTCTACATCTCCACAGTAATATATTTTCACCTTTAAAGCAGTTGAAGGAGTGACACAGATCATCAGCCAGTATCCTGAAGGAGGGAGAAGGGCTATGAGGGAACCTGCCTTCCAACACCAGGCAGCATTACTACCCAGAGAATTCACTCCACCGTGGGACAGTCACTCACAGTCTGCTTTGAACCTAATCCCTAAAAAGGTGATGGAAAAGGATATCGGGAAATTCCCAATATCTATGCCTTCTATCTTTCCCTAGAAACCTCCAGCGAATAAAAAAGACAATTTGGAAATGAAAGTGTTAGATGTTACTCAAATTTGAGGGCCATTATCAGTATAGGAAAACGATTTGAGCAGTTGGTGTATATCTTTCTCTGTATTACAAAGTAAATTCCTCATATTTAATCATTTTGATCAATTTTAACAGACAGCATGGATCAAACTGGTTAAAACTTTAATGATGTCATAATATTTATTAACAGCAAATCCTGAATATAGAAGATCTATGAATCCCCTAATCACTTCCATTTTATGAACTGGCTTTAAAAAAATAATCAAAGAAATGCTCTTTTGAAGAACAAAGTTTGGGGGCTTGGAGGAAGAAAAAGTGATCAGTACAAATGCTTCATAGATCCATCAGAGTTTTTAAGCCATTTAAATCCAACTATAGAAGATCAGATTCTGATCCGATATTATTTCTACATTTTTAGAACAACTTTTCACTCACAAATTCAAGGTGACAATGGCATTGAAAATATCCACAGGAAAAGACCAGCATAAAATACAATAAGATGATAATACCTGTTGCATTCAAGGGGTTATTTCTCCTTTCTGTATTTTTCAGTTGTTCTATGGCTATATATTTCTATAATAAAATTATTAATGAAGAAAGAATCCAAGGTTACAAAATGTAGTCAACTTGATAAAATAATTCTTAAATGTGCAGAAAGGAGACATTCAACTAAAGATCAAGACGATACCAGCTGGAAAGGCTCCAGGCAGATTTCAAGAGGGAGCCCATCAGCAGTGTTTCCTGGCAGTGATGTCCTCAGAGACAGGAAGCAGCGGGAGTCCCCTTCCCTAAGGCACCATGGATTCAAACCAAGGCAGATATGCCAAACACTGATTTCTACACATTTATTAGCCTTATGTGCTCAGGGAATCTCAGAACACTTCTGAAATTTGCATTTGATTCAGTTTCAGAGTGGAGAAAGAGATTCTCATGCAGACACCTACAGGACCAAAAAATGGTGGCCTCACTAGCAATGGCAACCATGGAAGGAAACCAGACCATCTCAGAGATGTTCCATAACCTATGGGTTTAGGGAAAGTTTAGCTAATATTGCTTTTTCAAATGATACTGCATAAACTCAACTATATTCATTTAAAAACCTGTATGCACAAGGCTATAAACCGATCTCACGTATTTAAATTGGTATATATCGCATCAGATAAATTTTTTAACTCATTTTTTAATGTCATAGGGGATGTTACAAACTAGTAAATTTACCCAGAAAGAGGGATTACAAATGCTACTGATATAGGTTTATGAAAATATAAGTCCTTCAGTAAGGATTTCAGAGTCCATTTCTCAGCAAATCACACAGTCTGTGCCCAAAGGCTGTGTATCCACTAAAATGGCTTCTTTCCAATCTCTGAACAGCATCCCCTCCACACAGTGGTGTCTGGATGTTGGCCATCTGCCTAATCCCACGGGCTCCTCTAGCAGGGTCACAGCTGCTGGTTGGTGAAGAAGGACTTAGTCTCCCTGCAGACAGGATTTACACAGAGTGGACAACTCAGAGTCAGCTGCTTGGAGCACAGCTTGTTGGACTGGATGTGAGAGAGCACCAAATCAGCCAGGGCCTGCAAGACACACAAGGAGCACAGAGCCATCAGGAGCGAAGAGTCCGCTGGCCCGGGACGCCCACCTCCTCTCTGTCTGCGTGACTGCTCTGGTTATCTGGGCTTCTTTTAATTGGAGTTGTGCAGCCCTTGAACTGAATTCTGTAACACTGTCCTTTACTGAGCTTCCTCAGTTTAAGGAAAGTTAAAATCAAGATTTTAGAAAATGAATCCTCTTACCCCACCCACTCTACCTTTTCTCTGAAAAGAAAATTTTAAATTAGACATAGTTATGGTGGGCAGACAGAAGAAAATGGGGGCTACTGAAAGGAGAAAGGAGGGAGTGGATGAGGGATTCGATCTTATTTTTGTAATTAATTGGAACTCCAAATGTTCTAATATGTGAGAAAACCAATATTCTGCAAGAGTTTCTCAGAGGATTACTCCCCGGAATGTTCTACTAAAATGGTTGTAACACTGCAGATACCTTAGAGAACAATGGATTTCCATTAAGAGACTCCGCTCTTCTGATGTTTTCAGCTCCACACTGAATCAAATGAGAAAGGGGAGGAAAAACACAGACATGTTTTATTTTCATTTTTTTTTTGTTTTTAAGAAACTGACTGCTAACAAAAATAATAAACAAACACATGCACACACAACTCACAGCCTGACTTCCAGTGTTAAGTGACACACAGGGAGAGGGCACATAGATTGATTCTTATCATAAATTACTCTCCAATTTCTATGTTTTCCCCCACCCCATTTTCTTCCCAAAGGTGGTTTGCTTCCAAACCATGTTTGAGATACTCCTTGATGGAATTCTCAAGTGATTTAAATCTTCTAACCATTTCTTTGATTCCACTTTTCTAATGCATACTCTTACTGTCTCTACCTAAATAGAATGTTGTTTGTTTGGTTGGTTTTTTGGTGCTGGGGATTGAACCCAGGGCCTTGTGCATGCAAAGCAAGCACTCTACCAACTGAGCTGTATCCCCAGCCCCAGAATGTTGTTTTAATTAAGTAAAATTTCCTACTTGCTTCCATTTCAAGTGCCAAAATGAAGGAAATTAATTTATGAACTCTAAGGTATATATTGGGAGGCTAGGGTTGCAGCTTAGTGGTAGAGTGCTCATCTAGCACTTGAGAGGCTCTGGGTTTGATCCTCAGCACCACATAAAAATAAATAAATAAAATAAAGGTATTGTGTCCAACTACGACTAAATAATATATATATATATATTTTTTAAAAAGATATATATTGGGTCTAGATTGGATCCATACGGTTTAGATTCTAAACATATTCCTACAGAAAATAAAATTTAACCTGAGTATTATTTTAGTATGACTTTTCTTTTCCCTGTCCAAAAACATCCAGTTAATTATCCCCCAAATAATTGAGAACTGTCTAACAGTGATGCACTGGGGTAGTCATGCTTTTCTCTTTCCCCTTTCCTGCTGATGAGCTCATGAGTCACTTCAGTTTTAGACTGGCATTAACATCTGAAGATGGGCACAAGAATGCAGTAAGATTCCAGGCAAAAACCTCGCTCTCCACTGAAGAGGCTGATCCTAAAACCTCACGCCAAAGTCAGTCGCCGCAGAATGACCAGTGCTGGCGGAGGACAGCCTCCCTCACTGCTGAAGGACAGTCAGGGCACATCTTCAGGAAAACTGAGAGGACTTTCAGCACTGCCATCCTTTCTAGGAACTTATCCAAAGAAAATAACTGAAAAAATAAAAACATTTATTCTACAGTAGTGTATGAGAATAAAAATTAAAAATGCCTTAAATATATATTAATCTCTATAAATGGATACTAATCTCTATAAAAATAATTAGAGATCTAATTATATTTACTAATGAGTTCATAATATACATTTTTAAAGAAAAAAAGATTATAAAACAGTATGAAACACAAGCAGAAACAAGAAACCTAGTTTTATTAAAATACATATTTACTTATTAGGAGAAAAAGGGGCATATCTTTATCACAAGCAGAAACAAGAAACCTAGTTTTATTAAAATACATATTTACTTATTAGGAGAAAAAGGGGCATATCTTTATCAAAATATGAATAGATGTTCTCTCTTGGGATAAGATTATGAGTGCATTCTATTCTCTATGTCATACACATTCTATTCTCTCTGTGCTAATATCTTTATTATTTTTATTATCAAAAAGCAATAAAGTAATCTCTATTTAGGGAGAATTTTTTAAACTTTTTGAAGTTAGTTATTTTAAACATTCTGTATTCTGCCATAAAAATAATGAAATAAACTATAGTTCAGTTGTTTTTCTTTAATCAATATAGGGACTAATTTATTAGCTACTAATAATTGCTTTGGTTATTAAGTAATATGAATGGATGAGATTGTCACTCAGTAGAGACAAAAACTTGTTTTCCAAACACACTGGTATGAACCATATTTTTACTGCAGTCTTTTTACAAAGTGCACAATTGGCCCACGTGATCATGGGATTCAGAAGAATCATCAAACAAAATGCATAAGCAATGACACTGCCTCACCTTGGTCACTTACAATCTGCCTGCCGACAAATTCTTCTTAATTGTGGATGAGCAAGTTTAGAACCTTCTTACCTTCCTGGATGTTTGAGACCAGCAACGTATACACAAATAATGAGGCTGGGGATTGGCTAAGGTTCTGCCCCCACCCACTCTCCACCATGCCCAGCACCAGCCACCCAGTTCCAAGGGGTTACAGTGCTTTGCAAGGCCAGGCCTCTGTCGATGAAGATGACCAGGAATTCTGGCCGAAGATGAGAGGGAGAAGGGGCTTTCTGAGTCCCCAGGCTTCCACCATAAATTGGACACAATTTTTAGGCCATCCCTCAGAAGCCATGAGATAGGCAAGCAATAGTTTTTCTCCATCCTGAACATCCATCTTATGAGATACCAAGGTGGTATTATTTCAATAATCAGATTGATTACAACATGGTAGCAAACAGCTAATTAAGTGAGTGCATAAAAGAGGTCAAGGAAATCACAACACACTCTGCTTCTTGTTCATTCCGTGTTCTTCTCTGAAATGACAACAAGCCCTATATGCCCTGAAATCCAAACAGAAACAGTAGAATAACCTTCGTTAATGATATAACCATATTGGTAAAGAAAAGGAATTATGGAACAGGGAAAAATTTTCCATCTGAATAGGTAATGTATATAATTCACTTTTCTTAAAGGAATGCAGCTTTATTATTTTCACATACTACAGTCATCTGAACTAAACAAAATGATCCCTGGGCCACCTGGTTTTAAAAGGCACAAAAGTAACTCCAGACGTAACTCCAAGTGTTGAGACTATCACACAGATGAAGCATTATTTAAAACAATGAGGCTAGAGTATCTGCAATCACATACGGCAAACAATATTTTTGAATGACAGATGTCTGTAGAGAAACTTTCCTTTTAAAACCGATCACAATGGGCTTAATAAGCCAGATGGGAGTGCTCACCTCCTTAGCTAAAACTTGAGAGTACTCGATATCCAGTTCGTACAGTGTTTCAATGTGATCACTGGTAAATGCTATTGGGACCAAAAGGATATTCTTCCTCCCCCTCTCACAAAGTCCTTTGATAGACTCATCTGTTTGAGGACCCAACCAGGGCACTGGACCAACCTATGAGAAAGGAGGATGAGCACATAAATAAGTAAATAACAGTCTGTCATTACAATTAAAAATAAAATATTAAGCCAATAGAACTCAACTAATTCTTTTGATTTCCTTTTATCTTTTTATCTTACTCGCTCAGTGAATTCTTTCTGCCCAGGATGAGCAAGCAGGTCATAGAGCAGTCTATCTATGTGGATGAACTGAACTGAATTATTTTATAGCTAAGTCCTGAACCAGATGATCTTGAGGGCGGTCTGCAAATGTGTGAAAGCCACCTACCTTGGACTGCCAAACCAGGCGGTAGGGGTTGGAGTAACCCAGCCTCTCCATGACTTTGTGGACAGTGGCGCCTACCTCCTGAGGATAGGGGTCCCCTCTGTTGACCACCTGCATCAGAGACACAAGGGTGTTCAGTTGCCAACGTCATGAAAAGCTCTAAGAGCTTCCGACTGTGCGGTAACATGGTGTGAGTCCCAGACCAGAGTCTTCCCTGTCTCTGGCATTAAAGACAATATCATCTGAGCAATCATGGTGCTTCACTGGTTCCATTTCTTCACTGGCCAAAGAGAACAACTATACTCAATCACCTCCAAGGTCCCTAAGAAGATTTAACAATTCTACAATGTTGTTGTAGGAGATTGACAAAGTCTAATTATGGAGGATTGTTCCCCCCACCCCCACCTCTGATACGAAAAATAACACAAAGAAGTTGGGCAGGAAGAGCCAACATGGGACAGCAAGCTGTACCTATGTAGTGAAGTGAGTGGATGATTTTAAAGCAGGAACTGAACACATGCTGTATGGACGAATATGCAGCTGCTGAGTTTACGATAAACTCCAAGGGAACAAGAGGAGGAAGGAGGAAGCGTGTGGTTCAGACTCCAGGCTCCTGGGGAACATGACCTGTGTCTTCTGCTTCCTTTTCTCTCCTCTCTCCCCACAACAATGGACAGTAGATAAATGCTCCGTGTGCAGCAAATGTCTGATACACGTTCTATCAGGACAGCCTGCTACTACATTTGAAAATGTCTGGTGCAGATATTTTAAGTGTTTTAATATTTTCCTGTGTACTGATTCCCTACCTCCTCACCCTGCTTTATTTTCTTCTCTGACATCTCTTACCTTCTAATCTACATTGCTATTTTCTTACGTATTATGTTTAGTATCTTTTACTACTACTCTCCAGAGACAAAGATTTTTGACTGTTTTCTCCCTTCTCATATCCTATGAGAGAACAGTACCTAGATTATAATTGGTGCTCAATAAATACTATATTATTGGCATGAAATACTGACAAACTATATTTTATGATATTACCATTGGTTAAAAAGCCATTAGAAGCCAAATATAAAAGAAATGAAGGAAATACAAAGTGGCCATTAGGACAGTGTATTAATGACTGCTGACACCCCAATGCTAAAATCAGTGGCAAAAATCTGAGGAATAACAAAATTTTGCATAGTCTCAAAGCATCTCCTCCAAGGTATTTTTAATTACAAAGAGAAAAACAGTAACTTTTCCAGGGACAAATATAGCAGATACCACCTTAACCAAATAACCAAAGACCACGTCACCAGGAATAAAACACACCAATGTCACAGAGCCCCACATGATTCACTGAGAAGAGTGCTCCTGCTAATACCACACAGTCACAATCCAATCATGGGAAAATACCAGATAAACCCCAAATGGAGGGACACACCAAAAGCAATGGAATTCGGGAAATAGCTCTTCAACCTAGCAGAGCAATAAAAGAAAAGTACGAAAAACTGTCATAGATTGGAGGATACTGGCGAGAAAAGACTGCCAAACACAGCGTGGGAACGAGGAACAGAAAAAGGACACTGGTGGGAAAATGAGTAAAATCCAAATAAAGTCTGCAGTTTAGTCAACAGAATTGCACCAATGCTCATCTCTCAGTTTGATACTGTACTATTTTATGTAAGATTTAGCATTAGGGGAAGCTGAATGAAGGGCATGTGGGACTTCTCTGTACTCTTCAGGCCACTCTTTGGTAAGTTTAAAAATTATTGCAAAGTAAAAAAGTTATTAGTTATGAGTGTAGGTAAAAAGAGGGCTTCCTAGGTCAGTTTTCTTTCTTGACAGTCCTGCCACCTTCCCTAGCCTTGGTGACTTCATGGCATCCCTCAGTCCCTAACAGGAACCCAGAAGCACAGTACCATGCCCAGTCCCTGCAGGAAGGCAAGGGAAGGGAGATCGGGGGTGAGAGACCACAAGGAGGCACAGGGAATGTTCCAGTGCAAAATGTTCTCCTGGCCCCGTTCAGGAGCTGCCCTCTGGCACTTCAGGTTTCATCACACATAGGACGGGTACGTGAAGAGGATCTGCATGGGGCTGGGGCTGGGGCTGGGGCTGGGGCTGGGGCTGAGTGGTAGAGCGCTTGCCTAGCATGTGTGAGGCCCTGGGTTCGAGCCTCAGCACCACATAAAAATAAATAAATAAAATAAAGATATTGTGTCCAACTACAACTAAAAAATATTTTTAAAAAAATTTTTTTTAAAAAGAGGATCTGCATAACACCAGCAAAGAGAATATAATACTCTTAAAATGAAATAGGCAAGAAGGGAGAAATTTATCTCCAGAGCCACCTACTGCCCAAGCAGTGACTGCCTAATTGTGGTATAGGAGAGGACACGCTGCACAGGGCTTGGCTCTGATGACCACCAAGGACACGCTGGCTCCATTAACCATCAAATTCAAACTTTAATCACACTTAAGAAAATATAATTCTCATCCCTCTGGCTTGGAAAGCAATATTTTTTGCTGTTATTACTTTGCTTTGTTTTCCAGTACTGCGGACTGACCTCAGTGGCACTTCACCTCTTCACTCAGATCTTTTTTATTTTAAGATAGGATTTCTCTTAAATTGCCCAGGCTGGCCTGGAACTTGCAATCCTTTGCCTCAGCCTCCCTAGTAGCCGCTATTACAGACATGCACCACCGCACCCAGCATTGAAAAGCAATGTTTTTAGGACCCAATACCAGTTTTGAGCTGATGAAACTAATTACTTATTCCAAGCCCTTCTATAAATTACATGGTGCTGGGCACAGTGACCCATACCTATAATCCCAGTGGCTCAGGAGGCTGAGGCAGGAGAATCTCAAGTTCAAAGCCAGCCACAGCAAAAGCAAGGCACTAAGCAACTCAGTGAGATCCTATCTCTAAATAAAATACAAAAAAGGGCTGGGGAAGTGGCTCAGTGGTTAAGAGCCCCTGAGTTCGACCCCCAGTACCAAAAACAAACATCACAATATATTTAGATTATATGGCACACTAACTGGATCTTGTTTCTAAATATTTCACTCTCATGGCCCAGTTTGTAGTACTTTCATAAACAACTCGGTGTAATATGATGAACTAAGGAGCAACCAGATCACAATCTGCTGTGCTATGTATTCACTTGCCAAAATAGTCTTCACAAATCAGAAACTATACTTTCTTCCTGGAATTCAAATGGCCTGTACCAAGTCTTGAGAACAGAAGGATAGAACTGGGGGACCTGGTCTGAATGGTGGCTGGCTGTATAACTGAACACACTTAAATACCAGCCTCAATGGGGCAGGCAAAAACTCTTCCTTCAACAGTCCTACTTCCTAGAAATTCTTCTAAATATCTCTTCCAATTATCATTTTAAGAGCACTAAGAAAATATTTACAATATTTTAATTTGTATTGTTATGAGGTTGAAAATACTGAGTCAAACGAAATCTGTACCAAGTTAAGTCTAGAATTTTAGAAGTCATTCTTCCATAAGGGATTAGAACCTTTTGGAGCTACATTCATTTTACATATCTAGAAGACAAAACAACCCAGTCTCCAACCACTAGGTCACCCAACAAAATGCTCTTACTTACAGACATTGGCAGTGAGTGAGCAGAAAACAGAATGACCACCTCATTCCTCTTCTCAGGTGGGAAATGGTCCAGTTCTTTCAGAATGTGGTCTGCAAAGCACTGTGGGAATCCCAAGAAAGAAGGAAACAAGGAAATAGGAACAAAGAAGTGGAAGGCAAGAAAATATTTCAAAAATAAGAGTTATACCAAAAGTCTCAGAGCAACTCTAAAAAATCAGAACAGTTTTTTTTTTTAAAAAAATGCAAACAGTACAGTCTCTTTGCTTTGGTCCATCATCAAAATGGATCATAACGGTTTGAGGGGCCTGGGGAATTTGATGGGAAACTTCTGAAGCTCACTAATGGCTCCCTGCAAATGAATGCTGTGGATCTGCCTCCCCTCGGGAAGAGCAGGGCACACTTCCAGATGGAAAGGAAACACAGATGGGAAAGAGAAGCTGTTTTAAGGCCTCGCATCTGCTCTGTTAGCAGGAAAACAGCTTACAGGGTCTTTCTTAATCTTCCTTTCTTTGGCTTTCAGGCATATTGCATGAAAATACATTAGCTAGAAATAGGAGAGAAATAAGAAAATACTCTTCTATTTTTATGACATCTTCCTCCTGAGTCCAGGATCCTCATGGAGGCAATCTCAACCTTTCTCACACCGTCCCTAACAACAGATGACAGGTGGCACAACCCCCATTAGATGAACAGAGCAGGGAAAGATGCTGTGGACATGAGGCCGTCCAGCCACATCTGGGAACTGGGGCTAGAACACAGGTCCCGCCTACAAACCTCTGTCCACCAGACCAGTTCACTCCCTCCATCTAGCTGGCATTTCCCAATTCACATGGATAGGTGCTGAAATGCCAGATCATAAGAGGCTTTCTTTCATCTCACACTTGAATCATTCTTTATCATTTCACTTATAAAGAAAGTGCTACAAAGGGCAGTAACAGATCAACTGACGAAACTGGAATATGAACAGAAATGAGATAAAATTGAGTATCAATGTTTAAATTCACTGATGTTGAATGCTGTGTTGCAGTTATGTATGAGAATAGTCCTGGTCTTAGAATGTTTAGGTGTAGAAGGTAGTAACACTCTCAAAATGTTCTGGAAAAATACACATGTATGCACAAACATACATAGTCATACACACAGAACATGCAAATAATAAAGCAAGTAGAATAAATGTTAACAATACATGAATGTAGGCAAAGAGCAGAAGAAAATTCCCTATACATTTTTTTTTTTTTTTGACACAGGGTTCTCTATTGCTCAGGCTGGTCACCTACCCCTGGGCTCAAGTGATCCTCCTGCCTCAGTCTCCAGAGCAGCTGGGCTAATAGGTGTACACCACAGCCTGGCTATACTCTTCTTATGCTTATCATTTTTAATAAATCCTTGAGATTATTTCCAAATAAAAAGATTTTCTTAATTGATAAAGGGTCATTTCCCAGAGCCATACAAATCTGCCTTTGTAAGTGTTCTGCTATATCAGTGGCCAGTCAATACTGTAAAAGGTGCAAACTATTCCCTAATGAATATTGAGGTATTATCAATCATTCTAGAACTCTCAAATTTGATAAATAAATACCATATTACCTAAGAAGACACCTAAAGTTAAGTTTCCCTCTTCAGAATTTATGATTTAACAGTAGATTAAATGTGGTAATATTTCATATAAACAAAAACTATACTTTCCGGTGGTCTTTGCAGAGTTTGGGAACTAAGGATGTTTAGAAAGGGTTATTTGGGGGCAAAACCTAGATAAGGAGGCCACTGTGAAGTTTAAGTATCTTGGGACATAATTTGACTCCAGTTACTCCAACAGTGAGATAAATAGCAATATCAGAGATCATAGTAGTAAAATGACTATTTTGAGTAATTATTACCTGTACTAAGTAGAAATGTGGATTAAGGAACCATACTTTGTTTCTTTAAACTCTATTTTTAGTTTTGGTTTAATTAAGGGTTTTAGTTTTGTTTTCATTTCCAAAAAAATTCCTAACTCATCCAGAGCTCAGTGTTTCTTTCCCTTTCTCAGCTTGCAAAACAGCAAACACGAACATTATTCATCATGGCTCATCGCAGTGTCCAGACCATCTTCAACACCAAGGCGTCATGGGCACGCAACGTGCAGCTTAAATCACCTACAGCCCATCTGCGGGATCTTCTGAGCGCAGCCCTCTGCAGAATGAAAGAGGCACCGCGGCCCTCAGAGCTTTCAATCACACCATCCAGGAGGGCAGATAAATGCCTCTAAAATTCCCTTTTATTTTATGAACAGAGACTTCCTCAGTTAAGAGACCTTTCCATCTTTCTGCTTCCCCCCTTTTCAAAGGGCTGAATTTTAATGCAAATCTAATTACTCCCTCGATCAGCGCAGGCAGATGCTGTGCAGATCCCTCGGTACTCTGCACCACATGTCGATGCTGACCTGAAACACCCCTCCCTCCAGCCACAGCCTCCAAGGGCTGCAGTCAGGGATGTGGGGCTCCGGGCAGTGCTGGGTCCTGCCAGGGAACACAGAGCCCTCGGAGACACCCATCCCCATCGGGGCTCCTTCTATTCACCTTTTACTTAAAACTGGAGTTCACTCCCTGAATTAACCCTTTACCAGCCTAAGGGGCCGGGTCTGCTCTGGAGAGAGAGGGTCTGGTTTTAATGATGTCTAGCACCATCTAGTGGTTGTAGATTTTAATTCACGGGGTATTTTGCCAGAGGTCAGAGAATGTTCAAAGAATGGAAAATAAACTGGACAATCTAGAACTACTGACAAAAAAACAAAACAAAACAACAACAACAAAAAAACTTATTTGTATGAATCTGGGCAATATTTTACCCATTGCATTCCCATATTTAAAGGACATAAAAGAATAAAATACCAACTCAAAACTATTTGTTTTAGAATTGTAGTTTAAAATGATTTTCCTAAAATCAAGTACCCATTAATATACGTATTATACATATAAGTTGTACAGGAGAAAGTTGAAACTTCTTAAATCAATGAAACTTTTTTCCATTGAAACATTTTTATTTTCATGTCTCAGAACATGTAGGCACATTAAATTTTTTAAATTTGATATTTTAAAATATTTAGAAAATAAAGGGTTTCAGTTATTATGAGTAATTCAATCTATGAATGTAAATTAGCCGAAACATGTACAGTCTTAAATATTCTTCTGGTCTTTGGGAAACACAAAACTCAAAATGTTATTTTGTTATGATTTGAGACTAAGAGCACTAATGTGAAGAAAGAAAAGAGTAGAACTATTTTAATCTTTAAATTTATTTTCTCTTTTCATAATAAATCAGGACTCTAATACTTTCTTTTAAACCCCTGGCATGTAATTTAAGCAAGAGAACAGGAGGCTCAGAAGGACACCACAAACCAAGAAGGGACAAGAACCTGATCATTCCAGAGGCTGGTGATGGGGACTGCTGGCAGTCCTGGCTTACCTGGATGAGGAGGGGATGTGTGGGCCACCTGTCGATAGTGCTCCACTTCATCGTGGGCTTCTTTCCCATCTCATTATAGTACCTGTATATGGCATTTAAGCTGCTCCCTGAAATATGGTAGACATACTTTGATTATTGTCAAAATTAAAAAAGACTAGGAAAGGCAGTAATTAAAAGTTCAAAGTAGGTAACTGCTTCTATACAGAATCCCAGTCTAATTACAATCTTTTCAATACTCTAAAATGCATATAGATTTAACTACCCTGCAAATGAAGGTCACAAGAAAGCAATCAATTACAACAGACTCTCAAAGATTATTGAGGCCATTTCTAGTGAGAAACGTGATGGTTGGAGATTTATGAAATATAAGCAGTTGTTACTTATCAGGACCAAGTCTTACAATTGAAAGCAGGTTAGAATTTTTTCCCATTATGAGGGTAATCAGTCCCGTTACAGAAAATGTATGGGTGAGGAAGAAAGGAACAAAGAAACCAGCCATTATCCCAGCATGCTAATGCAGTCATTGTTCTGTTCTAACACAATTGTTTTCAGGTATTTTCTTTATAGCTGCTTTGTTTTACAATAATATTTTTTTTATAATACTAGTGTGTGTGTGTGTGTGTATATATATATATATATATATATATATATATATATATATCTTGAGTATTTTTGCATTTTTATTTAATATTATGAGATAAATACTTTCTATGTTACAATGACAGCGTTATCAGCACACATCTTCATGGTATCACAATAAGGTGAGCCACACTTTCTATCAGGACTTTCTCTTTGTATGTGCTGCTACAACATCATCATCCCTAGAATAAGTTAAATGGATACCAAGTCCCTACAGGCACTCTAACAAAATTTGTATTTCTAAGTGGGAGATGAAAAATTGAAGCCTACAGGAGGGCAGATGGTGCCAACCAAAGCAACTTTTTCTTGGCCCAGGGAATTGGGCATTGTGGCCAAACTCTAACCCATGAAGCCAATCCTAAATGGAGCCTCTTCCTCAATCTTAAAATAGGACAAGTTCCAAAATATTTGCTTGCTTCCCATCACCAAGCCAGTGGGTTTTCTAATCATAGGAACTATTAGTCAGTTAGGTTTCCCATTTAAAAGGCTAATCAGAACAGAGCCATATTTTAACTCAAACATATGGTTAGGCTAAGGCTCAACTTTCACAAAAATAAAAAGGTTCAATTTTGTGAGTAGAAAACAGTGAATCAAAAGAATCCCAATTGAGTCCATTCAATGGTCAAAAATAATCTCTAGAAATCAAAAGTAGTTACTACTATATTCATATTGCAAACCAATATGAATATTGAAAACTAATATTTTCAAAAAATATTCCATGTCATTTTCAGTTTCACAAAATACCTGGGTATCATTATTGGATATAATAAAAGGAATTTGGGCCGCTATATTAGCATATTCAGATTACTCGGAAACAATAAACCAGCAGAAGGGGTAAATACAAATGAGAAAAGTGCTTGTGATAACACCCAAACTATACTGGCTCTGCTATGACAGCTCATGTCTAAAAGACAAAATAGATAAACACTAGACACTCTAGGGCCTCAAAGAATAAATGTGTATCTCAAAGGCTTTCACCCTCAGAGGTAAAGATGTACCTGTCCTTACACACAGATGCACTCAAAAAAACTGAGTATGTTCTGAAGCTCCAAACACACACACAAAAAGCCAGCTGGAAAACAAAACCCAAAGTCAACCCTTTGTCATAGAAGAACAATCTTCTAAACCTACCAACGTTTGAGAGCAAACATTTATAGATTAAGGTAAATTTTTTTAAAGCAAGACAGAAGTAGATCTGAGTAGATTCTAAGATCTGACTCATTTCCAATAATATATTACCAGAAAAATTTGAAGTTGAGAAGTACATTTTGAAAAGAAATCACAATTCAGATATTTGAGGGTGCCTGACAGGGGCTCTGGATAAATATTTAAGGCACTCAACAAACTCTGAATGTTTCTCCTACCAGCAGCCTTTGTTTCTCCTTATAGTTATAGAAATAATAAACATTACTGCCTAAGAGCATTTTGGGAGTAAAAATAAATGTATTTGTAGGTGACAGTAGGCATTTTATCTATTAGCAATGACACAGAGATTGCCAAACAACTTATTCTCCTGCTCCAGTTAAGTACATGGGAACAGCAAGCAGTAACATTTTCTAAAATAAAGAACACTGAGGGAAGTCTGCAAAGGGAATCCAGAACTGGATTTCAGTTTAATTATCAACCAACTGTCACTGAATGCAGCACAATAACAACAAAATACCACTACTGTCCATGCTACACAGGCATCTGCTTCCAAAAGAGAAACAGCAATCACCTCTGCTAATTAATATCAGGGTAGCCATAACTACAAGGCTATATGTGTGCCAGGCACAGGGGCTACTCAGGAGGCTAAGGGATGAGGACCACAAGTTCAAAGCCAGCTTGGGCCATTTAGCAAGACCTTGTCTCAAAATAAAAAAGGACTAAGGGTAGAGCCCCCAGGTTCAATCTCCAATACGGCCAAAAACATTTTTGGAAAAAAAAAAAAAAAGAAGAATGTGAGGTAAACCTAGAGAGTGGCTTAAGGTTCATTACTGATCCGTTATCCAACTGCATTAAGGCAGTGAACACACACAGCACTGCCTTCCACCCACCATTTGTAATTCTCGGCTGACCAGCCAATAATTCAAGGAGCAGATGAACCATGAGATTTCAAACGGACTGACCTGAACTCTCATGTTTAAAGGAGACAGGCTGGATTTGCCATTCAAATCTAAGTGATTTATCCTTTTTACGGCACTCGGACTCCCTGGTTAACTTTGCCAGGGTCTTATCCACTTGCCCATTGTCAAAAAAGCCACCCCTTGGAATGAGACAGTCATCATTACCCTAAGTGCATGTATGAAGACACAAATGGTGTGACTATTCTTTGTGTACAACCAGAGACATGAAAAACTGTGCTCTACATGTGTAATATGAACTGAAATGCATTCTGCTGTTATATACATAACAAATTAGAATAAATAAATTTTAAAAAGCCACCCTTACCAGTGGTAGAGCAGCTGTACTGTGGATACTGTGTGAAAGCAATGGCCCTTTCTAGTCCATCTCTCTCCATCTCGTCAATTGCTTCTTCTGTTAAAGGATGGACGTACCGGAATCCAATATAGTATTTGTGAGGAGCTATTAGGAAGCACAAGTGGAAAGGAGAAAGTATTAATCTTTATATAGATTCCTTAGAGTCACCAAACACAGTGTAATGCCCAGAACAAAGAACAGTGAATGTAATGTCCTATGATGCTGATAATGTGGGCAAGTTTAGAATATTCCTGGGATCTTAATTATTCTTTAGCTGGTACACGGACTTTGGGTCACTATTCTCTAAGATCAACTGCCTACCCATACACTTTTACTTAGTATGATGGTTTTTAAAATTCATACTTCTTTTCCTAATTGTTGGCTCAGAAAAGAGAGATTCAAGAAAAGGGAGGAAAAACTAGCACTTGTTCTTGTTCTTAAAGTGTCAACTCTTGCACACTAGACACTGGAGGAGACACTCTGCTCCCCCCGCCCCCCCCATCCCCGCCAACACACACACACTTAAACTCCATTTATTAGATAGGAAAACAGAGATGCTGAAAGTTCACTGACCTGTCTAAAACCATACCTGGTGGGAAGAAGAGCTGAAATTGTAACCCGGGTCCCCCATTCCAAAGCCCATCTCCTTCTACATCCCATCTGTTCCCACTACCCACTTCCCTGAGCCCCCAGGTCACTCACTTTATTAAACAAATGCAAAAGCACTGAGAGTCACATTAAAAGTTCATTGATAACATACATAAACAATGCTTAATTAAGTTAGAGGCATCAAGTGAGATGTATAGTAATTGTTTGTGGCCCTAAAATGGCCTGAGTCTACATCTGTGTTCCTTCTTCCTCTGTGGTTTCACCAATTCCCCTTTCTATCTTCTTTATCCTCCTGCATTCCAAAGGCAGTCATATCACATAAATATTCAGGCATTCATAAAATCATAAAACTGAAAGCTTCCTAAAGTCACCTGGTCTCACTGCATTGCCTTTCATGAGATTATACAAAACTAACACTCAAGAATGATATGGAGCATACACTATACAAACGTCAAGGAATAACAGAACTTAGATTATGTTAGAACCCAGATTATGTTATTTTTCAAAGTATTTGCAGGGACTGCAATGAAGAACATGACATAAAATTGCCACTAGAAACAATTAGGTTAAAAGTGAAAGAAAAGATAAAGAATTTATCCTATATATACATGGATGTACACATGGGCAATATCCTTCATAACTTGACCCAGGGAACTATGAAATAATGGAACATGTTACCAAGGGCAGAAACAAGATGTCAATGGTCGTGTGTGTGTGTGTGTGTGTGTGTGTGTGTGTGTAAGAATGGTCTGATTCAGTATTCTTGTGCTAGAGACTGCAAAAAAAAGAGGAAGGAAGGATATAAACGGAATCATTTTCAACTGTCAGTTCCTTCTAGGCCACAAATTTTATGTTCTCTTGTATAAAATAGATGAATTGTAGTTAAAACACCCCAGGGGACACGACCCTATAAGCAAATTTCAAAGGACCAACTGTTCAACAACTATGTGCTTCATTTTTAAAATTATCAAACATCCCAAAACCTTCAAGTTCATTTCTAGGCAACCCTTGGCTCTCAGCGCTGAGGTTTAGCAAGCCAGTGGAAACAGCTTTCTAATCTACTTGGAGACAATACAATTAGCAGATTGACAGAGTGAGCTCCCCAGATGCTGCAGGTCAACCAGTTTCTCACATTGACTTTTCACCTGTCCAGTGTTTGAAAAGTGTAGTCTAAATGCCTGGGGTCTGGGAGTTTCCCAAATAGTGCAGACTAAGAGGGTTGAGAGACTGTTCTTGCAGATAAAGGTGGGGCGGTGACCATGTTTTTAAAAGGGACAGAGTAAAATACTCTGGAAAGAACAGATAATGTTTTCTAAAGGCCTACAAACACATATTTAGAAAAAGTGGCCATGCACCCTGACTTGGCCTAGCCTGAAGAGCCAACAAGCAATGTTCACGAGGGCCCCTGCTGTCATAATCAATGTCTTACAGTTGGCTATCCCTGGCAGGACACCACACCTGGCCAGAGTGATGGCCAAGCACACGACTCACTGGCCTGGCCTAGTCTGCCTCAAAATGGACATATTTTGGAGGGAACTATGAGAAGAAAAAAAAAAATGGGATTTTAAACAGTAAAACTTCATTAATTTAGTATGTACAATAGTTCCCATTTGGGACAAGATCCTTTAGAAGAAGGGTCTGAAACATGTAGCATGATGCTTTTTAATTTGCATCAGATGGTAAACTCTGGGCCAATGGTGAGAAATAAAAACTCGCATTTAGTAAATTTTGGCCACATACCTTGCTAATGTCTTTTAGGATTATCTCATTTAATTTTCACAATGACCCAAGGAGTGGATTCTGCTACCTCCCTATCAGAAAGGGGGCTTAATGAGGTAAGCAAACTGCCTGAAGTCACACACCAGGAGGAAGCAGCAGGGCCACCTGACCCAGATCCCAACCCCCTACCAACTGTGTTCTCAGTTTCATTAAAAGCAATCACTGCCCACATAAGCAAACTATAATTTTTAAAAACATATTTTAGACTTAGACTTTTCATCCTATGACTATACTTCTCACCTTTATCTTCTATGTTCTACATTATTATACTGCCCTGTAATTATATGTAACCATATCCCTTGCTATAACTCACTATATCAGGTAATTATTCAATTCTATGCAAAACCAGGGCAAATCTCAAAAATTTCCATTCTGGCCACCAAGCAACAACCATGTCCCTAAAAAAACGACAGTGTGAAACATTTTTATCTGTTTACAATCATGTTTTCTTGCTTCAAGATTTCTTGGTAGAAACAAACAAAAAGACATAGTTCAAAGGTCAACTTTATAATTGTGTAGAAAAGAAGGGAGGATGTCTTAGTCATTTTCTGTTGTCACAACTAAATACCACAGACTGAGTAATTTTTATAGACTAGGAATTCATTTGGCACAGCTCTGGAGGCTGGGAAGCCCAAGAGCAAGGCACCACCAGCCTTGGGCGAGGGCCCTCTTGCAGCATAGTGACATGGCAGAGGGCACTGCATGGCAAGACAGAACAAGCATGCTAGCACAGATCTGTCTTCTTCTTTTTAAAATTTTTTAGTTGTAAATGGACACAATCCCTTTTATTTATTTATTTATTTATTTATTTGGGGGGTACCAGGGATTGAACTCAGGGGCACTCGATTACTGAGCCACATCCGCAGCCCTATTTTGTATTTTATTTAGAGACAGGGTCTCATTGAGTTGCTTAGCACCTCGCTTTTGCTGAAGCTGCATTGAACTCACGATCCTCCTGCCTCAGCCTCTCAAACCCTGGGATTACAGGCATGTTCCAGTCTGCCCGGCTTATTTATTTATTTTCATGTGGAGCTGAGGATGGAACCAGTGCCTCACACATGTGAGGCAAGTGCTCTACCACTGAGCCACAACCCCAGCTCTCTCCTCTTCTTATAAAGTCACTATTGCCATCATAGGTGTCCCACCCTCCTGATCTCATCTAACCGTAAGTGCCCAATTCCAAATGTCATTAACATATGAATTCTAGGATTATTTCCAATACATAAACTTTGGGGGACACTAGAGAAAGAAAACTTGAGAAACATGAAAGAGGAACAGGAGGGACGGAACTGACTGTTGGTTCCTCTAAAAGGCACTGGGTTTGGCTTAGTGTGTGCTCATTGAAATGCAAGTAATAGGGCAGGGAGCCTACTTCTGGACAATCTGGAGAGCCACAGAGCCCCGTTTAGTGATTTTCTTGGTCTTCATTGCAAAACTCCCCCACCAAGCTTTGAAGCCTACACACTATTTCATTTATCCTACATTCATACTCTGTGCTGATCAGCCCGCAAACATTTTGTGTACCATCTTTATAATAAGTCTCCAAAAGATTTTCTCTCTGCTTCATAAGAAGACTGCCTGAAGCAGCAAGGTCTCACTGAACTGGAAGCTTCTTGTAAATAGAAACCACGGTTTTCAATTCAGAACAGCAGCACTACACAATGCGTGGCATTGTGGAATGAACGAATGGGTGGTCCTGGCCTATGTTCAACACTACTGCCATACCCCAAAGCAGGCCCACTAACATGATAGGTGTGGTCATCCATGAAGGTTTAAGTGGCTTGCCAACCATGGGCCACAGAGAATAGTGATTTGCCAAAATGGTCACCAATTGCCAACACCCACCCAGGACCAGGACCCTAGATGAGCCTCTGAGATCCAGAGAAATCTAAAGCATTCCCAAGAAAAGTAACCTTCTGCCTCCGTGAAAACCACCAGAAAAGTTAGCTCCATGAAGGTAACACATAGCTCACTTGCTCCTCTGTCACTCAGCACTGTGTGTGACACGTGACCAGTGCTTACGCACACCTGGTGGCTGGTGGTTGGATGGATGTGGGAATTCATGGATGAAAGAGTGGCTGTGTAAGTGGGGAAATGAATGGAATGAGCAAAAGAGGAAAGACAGTTTCCTGCCACATTAGGAGTGAGTGTAATGGGACAAGCCAGCCACCAAGCTGACTCAGGCTCCATAAATACCTGAAACTTAGGCCCACACTTCCAATAAAGAGTAGTGAACTTTTTAAAGTAAGACTCTAAAAGATAGAACACTTAATCCTTGTTTTTTCAAAACCACTTTCACATTTTGATTATGTAAGCATGAAGTGGACATTATTATCCTTTGATGCCTACCAAAGCAGAGAACGATTAATCCCAGAATTTACGAGCTTGTAACTTCCTGTCTTTGCATAACATAGACACACATTAAAATGATCAGACATTTGATACTGAGTGGAACATTGGTTCAATCCAGGTCATTCTGTGGGAACTCTGCCCAGCCAACCAGTGAGACTGAGGCAAAAGGTGGCTTGATCGGTTTGGACAAATCATAGAAACCAGAGTGGAAGGAGAGGTGGGAAGGATGCTCTTCCATCTGGTTTCCTTTCTCTAGTCTGACATCTCTATTAGGGCTCTTGATGTTGATGGATACCACAGTAACATGTAAACAACAAAAACAAAAAAAATGGCACCTTTCTGCCTCTTTTTTTCTACTAAATAAGCTGCAAACCTGATTCACACTAAACCTTTTATGATGAGAGAGTTTGTTCTCTACCAAATAGGAGTAAATGGAGAGCAGCCAAGTTTTCTCCCACTAACATTTAAAAAGATGCACTGTGGCATCTGTGGCTGAACTGTATAAGAAATGCCCTTGAGCCACAGCGGCAGGCAGGACGCAACCTAATATTCAGAAGCACGATTGAACAATTTTCCAAGTGAAATGATCTGCTAAGGGACTAGAAACCTTTGTCCCTTCATACAATGGGAAACGGTGGATTCTGAGAGCAATTCAAGTTGATGCTCAATGATTTCTCCTCAGAGAGGGGAATACTCCTTTTGGTCCTGCCTAATGGGGGCTGATTTGCCTTGAGAGTCTCCACAGTGTCACACTCCTGTCCTGAGTCCTGAAACCTTAAAATGTATCTACAATGAATGTATTTCCTGTGTCCTAATATGAACATTTTTTTTGTAATATTAACACGTCTCGTATTGGTTCACATCTACAACAGATGATGTCTTAAAATGAATTGCCAGTATTTTGTGTTTCTCAGTATTGTACAGAAATAATGGTGTGTCTTGCATTGAGTGAGTCTTGGATGCGATTCACATGGCACTTGTAATTCATTTGTGCATTTGGTGTCTCATTCTGTACACAATTGTTCTGCTTAAAAGTTCTCAAAGGGCAGTCACCAGATGTGTACAATCCTCTTTTTAGTTCCATGTCCAATGTGCCACTTTGATAGCTGCCAATGGTGCTGCTGCTAAGAGCTGAAAGCAGTCACTGAATGCTGCTTAGTGTCTCATGGCTTCAGTGGAAAGTGGCTAATTCTGCTCTCGCTGTTGATCTAATTAGCTATCCAAACAGAAAGAAAGGGCCACAGCAGCAGCTCAGTCCATTTCCGAAGGACTTCTTTCCAATACAATGATACATGCATTTTTTATTCATGTTGCTTCTGCCTTATAATCTAGCTATGTAACACCTTGAACCTCCTTTTGAAACTCATGGTACAAATTTTCCGCTTTTTCCTTTGTAACGTAGAAAGTAATGGAAAAGGCTCTAAAGTTCAAGGGTAATGCCTTGAGAACTCAGTTAAGTGATCCTATATTATGCAGAAACTTACAAATCTAGAGTGACCAATACAACAGCACTGCATCCAGTACTATTTTGAATTTCATAACTACTTTGAAATAACAAGCCTAGCATTATGTTAATGAAGAAACAGTGTACCTGTGTTAGGGGACAACTCATCCAGCAGTTTCACCATGCCTTCTCCTTGCTTGGAAGTCCACATCTTGATGGGGGATCCACCTCCAATCCTGCGATACTGCTCTTGAATTTTGGGGGTTCGGCGTTTGGCGATGAATGGTGCCAGCTTACTAAATCATTTAACATGTAGGTAAGTGGATTTTATTCCACCTTAGCAACCTGAGAAATATTTTCTACTCAATAAAGATAAGCAAAAATTTAAGACAAACCTAACAAGGTCAAGCCTTTATAAATAAAAGCTTGAGGTCACTGACATAGCTAGTTCTTTGGACAGAGAACAGAGAGCTGAAGCTAGATGTTCTCTAAGGAATAATCACCTCTGTTCTCTACTAGTTGTTCCAGCAGCACACCTGGAAGATTCAGGACTCCTGACATTCACGCAGAGAGCCCTGGATCCTTACTAGCTACTATCTTATTTTGTACTTAACAAGAATTAGTATATAAAATATAGGAAATATATACTGCCCTTAATTTAACAAAATAAATGTTAATTTATAGATATGTACTTATAAATATGATCAATGATGTGTGCAAAAAATGTGTACATTGCAATACTGTAAACAACTTAATTGTCTATGAGTGAAGCACAAGCCTATCATTATGTTAAGGTACAATCATATAGTGCAATTCTAAACAGTCATTTAAAAAAAATGAGCTAGATCTATGTATTATGATATAAAACAAAATATAGTACTAAGTTTTTTAAAAAATAGCAAAGTGATAAATAATGTTCATAAGTACATTCACATTTGTGTAACAAAGTTGGGGAGGAATATTTACAGTATATATATATACACACACACACACACACACACACACACACACACACACACACATACACATACATACACTCAGATATGCATTGACTATTTCTGGATGTAACAGTGTTTACCTCTGGGCAGGAAACTGGGAGGCTGGAGTTCAAGGAAAAGGAACACTTACTTTGTACCATCAATATATTTATACTATTTACATTTTTAAATCATATTTATGTATAAATGTTTCACTGAAAAACCTATTTTAAAAGGAAAGAAGGACAGGAAGAATGAAAGGAAAGGAAAGAAGGAAAGGAAGAATGAAAGAGAGAAGGAGAATAGCAGTAATCCATATTCAAGTACAAAAGAATAATCATCATTGCTTCTCTGAGTGTTAATCAGCCGTTACATGCCAAGTACAAATATATCTTTAAAAATCTTTAAAGGTACTTCCATTGTGTCAAGACAACTGCAATTTCCAGGGCTCTGGGGAGGAGAGGGCTCAAGCAGAATGCTCACTAACTAGCTTCCACCCTATTAGTTCTTTCTGTATCACATCTTCTGAGTTCCTAAAGACGGAATGCTGCTGTTCTAACCACTACTAGATATGTATTGAAACTCTTTAATTTTTAATTTTTTCAAACTCCAGAGCTGAGGTACATGTAAAGCCAAATGCATTGCACATGTTTTTTAAAGTGCAGGGGTTTATACATATCTTACTTTTGAATAGGAAGTGTCATGAGGTCTCGGTCCAAGAAGAGCCTCAGAAGGAAGTCATGAACGTCTCCAAGAGTTTCGGGGCCTCCCATGTTTAGCATTAATATTCCGGTTTTTGGCTTCCTGTATAAAATAAAATGCAACAGTTCATTTGTCACACATTTTATTTTCCTCTAGGACATACTTGATTCAGCTAACAAACTCTCAACTGGATCCAAATGGAAAATCTACAGACCTTTTTGCTGCTACTCCATGGTTGCCTATTTGGGGACACAACAGGCCTCCACTTCTCCATTTTCCCAGCTCAGACTCTGACCTGCGTCTCTTAGCTCCATCCATTGCTCTTCACCGGGCTCAAATGTTTCCCTATTAACCTGTCAGCCCTAAACAAAAATCTGATTCTTTAGGGACTGAGAGTCAAAGTAGAAATATAGCATTGTCCTGAGGCTGAAGAAGCTGTACATGTCAGAGCCTTTATGGACATACAGTTCTCAACCTCCCCAAATTTCAGGTTTTCACATGTGCTAAATTCAAGTCAAAAGTTGTTTTGAGAATTCAGTGCTCAAGTACTGAATTACTTAGCATGATCTGGCACATAATAAATCTGATACAGAGAAGGATTCCCATGTAACTTTAAACCTCCAAAGTACAGCATAAGCCCATCTCTCACTCATTTATCTGCTCACTTTTGTGAATTATAAAATGAGTCTTGACTTCAATTACTTTTTTGCTACTCTGCTTCCTTTTCCACTGCCTGCCTTTACTCTCTCTTCCATGACCCCTGCTATGATAAACTACATTTCTCACTCTATGCTTACCTTTCCTGAAAATCCACTGCTTAGAGAATTCCTGGAAAAAAAAAAATGTCACTAACATTTAAGTTAGTCCAAAGCTAAAGAATCAAGCATTGCATAAGTGGGAAGAAGCAAAAATAAAGTAAAAGTCGTTAACAAATGTTTTAAGTCAAGTAGCTTCAGGAAAATTGAAAAAAAAAAAAACAGAAGTACTATACAGAAAAAAAAAAAAATTAGACTTCTAAATCCCACACAGCGTTGGAGCCTATGTGGCCTGAAGTCAGTCCAACTGGGAGTTCTCTACTCCTAATCCCTGCCAGGGGCAAGGTAAAGCTCAGGGCTAACTGACTGTCTCCATGTGCTCTGGGAACCACCAAAGACCATGACTAGGGAGACCCAGAACTAGAAGGTCAGGGTCTGAACTGGACCAGGAGAACTGGGGGCCTTGCATGCCCCCAGAATGGAGAGCCATGTGATGGCAATGAAGAAAATAAGGAACAGAGTGTTTCTTCCATTTGTTTCCCTTTTCTTTTTTAAATTCAAATATATCTATGGATTCACCTGTTCAGAACATCTCACAGAAATGGAAATATAACTGTTTCTGGTTTCTTTCCCTTAGCATAAAATGTCCAAGTTTAATCCATGTTGCAGGAAAGAATCAGTACTTCACTGCTGTTTATTGCTGAATAATATCCTATTGTATGGCTGTATCCTCCATTTATTCCTGATAAAGCAGCTGAGAAATAGCCAGCAGAAGTTTATCTAAGTGCCATTATTATGAATGGTGAGGGGCCCACTTCCTAAACCTAACATGGGGCCACCTCTAGCTCCCATAGCAGTAAACCAACCCTGCCGGGATGGTTCTCTTTTGGAAGACTGTTCTTAATGTGTTCTGAAAAGTAATGATATTACATCTTAACAGCAGTTTTAAACAACCTTAAGAATATTTGGCAATAACATTAGGGAGCAGCATGTGTCAAATTTATATAGGTGGAGACTACTTTCTTGATCAAACACACTGTAGGTGAATGAGACGGAAATCTGAATTCTCAGCTCAGACTTTAGAGTAAGAACCAATTAACAGGGAAAGGGGAGATGCACCATTACAAGGAAGTTGGAGTTTTTCTAATTTAGATCCCATTTTAAAAATTAACTAAGATCACCTTTTATATAATTGTCTTGGACCAGGGTTTCTCAATCTCTGCACTCTTGACATTTTGGGCTAGATAATCCTTTGCTGTGATGGACTGTCCTATTCAATGTAGCATGTTTTGTAACTCCCTGCCCTCTACCTACTAGATGGCAACAATACATACCCTACCCCAGGATGACAACCAAAAATGTCTCCAGATAGTGCCCAATTTGTCTTGAGAGGAATAAAATGTCCCCAATCACATTTATAACCACTATCTTAGAAAAGAGAGTTTAACCCTCTTTTGACTGAACCAAGTGATGACACTTTGTTCATTAAAGATGTCATTATTATAGAACTTTTCCATATAGAAGTCCTATTACTAAATTAATTGTGGTATGGTTTTCTTTTCTTGCTACCTCAAACTTCCAGAAGCATCATTTTGTGAGACTAATATGCCTTTAATCTTTATACTTAGACCACCAGTCTTCTCCTGGGATCCTGTCTTTTACCCTCAAAATCTGTGACTCACAATAAATTAAGTGCATTTTCCCATGGATTGCTGCCAGTTAAAAGATTACTGGTTAAGAAACCCCAGGCTAAAAGACTTACCTAAGCCACAGAGGGTATCAATGCGCAAACGGGATTTAGAACTGTGTTTTTCATCTATAACACCTGAGCTCAGAACAAGAGTGGCTTAAAAGCGGATGTTACTCTGCCCTGCTCATGATTTTGCAGACCCATGTTGATCTTACACATGAAAGAGATGCACATGATTTGAAAATGCCCAAATACACATGCACTTAATTCAAAACTGTGTTGTGCATGATGAATGGCGTATTAGTAAGCCCTAGTCGGACTCTGCTCTATTCCAGAAAGTGAAGTGCAAAGCTTTAGTCAAGGGTCTCCGTCTCTTCTCCCCTCCAGACAGAGCACACCTGAGACCAAGGTCTGACTGGTCGAGTTTCCTCTTTTTAAACATAAAACTGTATGCAGCAAAACATATTTGAAAAGGTTTAAATGTTTTGCCATTCTTATATTCTGGGACTCTCAAAATATAAGGGTTTTCTTTTGAACTACTAAATGGACATACTAGGAACTTAATCTCATCAATTAATAAAGAAAATAATAATTTTATTCTACTATATATAATCAGCATTAAGGAAAGGAAACAAATTCCAAATCCTAAATTAAACCTTCAAGATGTAACCGACCTGTGGATCTAGGCCACCTAGAGAACAGCCTGTAGTTTTATAAGATCTGCACCAAATCTGCACACACACACATATACACTGCCTGTTTGGGGAAATAGAAATTTTATTGTAACACAGTTCCAATCATGTGTTCATATATTATTTTTGTTCCCATATTGCAATAGCAGAGGTACAGAGCAGTGAAGAGATGATATGGCCTACATGCCTAAAAAAATTTATTACCTAAACCTTTACAGAACAAGTCTGCCAACCCCTAATCGAAAATAGCATCATCTAGTATGGTTATGGTTTGAATGTGAGGTGTCCTCCAAAAGCTCATGTGTGAGACAATGCAAGGTTTGGAGGAGAAATGATTGGGTTATGAGAGCCTTAACCCAATCAGTGAATTGAGTGGTAGCTGAAGGCAGGTAGGGTGTGGCTAGGAGGAGGTGGGTCAATGGGGGCGTGCCTTCAGGATATATATTTTGTATTTAGCAAGTGCAGTCTCTTTCTCTGCTTCCTGATCATCACATGAGCCACTTCCCTCCACCACTTTCTTTTGCCATGATGTTCTGCCTCATATCAAGCCCAAAGGAATGAATGGAGCCTCTCTTTAAACATATGGACTGAGACCTCTAAAACTGTGAGCCCCCAAATAAACCTTTCCTCCTCTAAAATTGTTCTGGTCAGGTCTCTTAGCAGCAGCAAAAAAGCTGACTATAACAAGTATTCTAATTTAGTTCAGTCCAAGCGTTAAACAGCACAATGCTTTCAAAAGGTCTGCCATCAGAATAATACACAAAGGCATGTATTGTTTCAACTCAAATATGGAAAAACCAGAAATAACCTATGACTATAATGTGAAACTGGATGAATTATGATTTAATAAAATACTCCTAAGCTACTAAAATAATACAGAAGAATATTTATAATTATATGATGATATAATAAGTAAAGATAAGAAATTATAAAATAGTATGTATAGCATTATGACATTTCTGTAAGTATATATCGAGTGAATACAAATAGATAACAGAGATAAAATGTTAGATGGTAAGATTATCAGTGATATTTTTTATCTTTTATTTTTCCCATTTGTATTTTTATTGCTTTTCTATAAATATGATATAAAGTAACTTAATAGAATCTAGGGCTTATTTTAGATTTTTATTTAATTTGAATAATTTAAATTAAGGCTACTTATGTTATTGGCTTTTGCCACTAGAATAATATAGTGATGAAATAACTCTCCTTCCAGGATCCCACACTGAATCAGTTTTTCACCTTAAACCAATACCTATTCCAATCCTTAGGAACTTAGGGATAAGGTGGGAAGAGGCGCTGCCGAAGGCAGGAGGACCAGTGCCCTGCTTGGCTCACTGTCAACCAAAAATGACATCTGTACTTGTCATCCTCCTCACTAACTCCATCTTTTAGGAAGACTGAGAGTTGAGAGGAGATGGTTTGCCACCCATATGTCCTATCCCTAATAAACTTCAGTTTACTTAGCATTCCATCAATGAACCTCTCATCACCATGAAAAACAGCAAACATGAAATTGGAATATTCCATTTTCAGGGCTGCTTTCCTACACTGGCATGAGGTCTTGTAGAAAGGTCAATGAGTTACACAGGTTACAGCTACTTTCCTTCTTTCACTCTGCCTGGTGTAAAAGCTCACCATTCCTTGGTACCCTTAGATCTAAACAACTTTCCTTTATAGAGTCTGCTCTAGCTGCCCTTTAGAGGAGGACCTGAGGACAGTTGTGGCTTCTGCTATCAAAGAGGACACTCTGCAACATACCTGCTGCCTTCCACCAGCAAATAAAAGAGGTGAGGAAGGAAACATAGACTTGATTTATTTAATAAATTAAAAATCATAGTATGTCATTTATAATTATGTTCTAATTATGGTAGAGTCTTCTATAGGAGTTCTTTTTAAAAAATATTTATTTTTAAGTTTTTAGGTGGACACAATATCTTTATTTTACATTTATGTGGTGCTGAGGATCGAACCCAGTGCCTCATGCATGCTAGGCAAGCACTCTACCACTGAACCACAACCCCAGCCCCTCTATAGGAGTTCTTGATAAGTTAGTTCCTCTCTATCCTGTATGGGACATGTTTCACAGGCATAATTATGTTAAGTTCATAAATACATTTCCAGCATACACATAATTTGTGTGACATATTCCAAGACCAAATTCTTGCATGATGTGCAGGCTAGTTTCATGTGTTCTCTTTTCAACAAAAGCCCTGCTGAGGGTTAGGGGGCATTAAAATTTGTAGTTTAACAGCTATTTAGAGGAAGCCAAGAAAATAACATAGCCCTTCCGATATCCTGGGTTTTCCCAGTACCTCTCCTCCTAGGTATCTTGTAACCACTGGTGTGTGCAATAATAAAGACAAATTCTTACTTGTACCTAAAATTAGACGCATACCTCTTTTCCAGTTGAGCTTGAGGTTTTGTACTCTTAGACTGTTGGGCCTTCTCTGTGGTGCCTGCCGCTGCCGCTGTACCCAACTGACACCTCCATGGCTGACGGGCCCTCGAGCTGCCCTGCACCACTGTGACAAAATTAAAGTGCTAGCATGAAATCCAGCTGGAAAGTAATTTCTTTTGAAGAGGTCCTCAGGGTATAATTCCTGGCTTTAAAATTTAAAGAGATGTGATGGCAGAGGTGATATTCCCAGTATTTCTCTGCAGGCGGGTAGAAGCACTTAAGGCCTCTCCAAGGGGATGGGTGGAGATCCGCTGCCCTGGGATGGCTTATGAGAGCCTGCAGGGAGGCAATTTGGAAGCCACATACCTCCTCTCCCTGCCTTGGCTGCAGTTTTGATATGATCCCTCACATTCTAAATGTTACTGAGGGTGGTGGTCAGGGGAAAGGTGAGGGGTCCACAGAAAGATGAAGGGTTACTGATTTAGGGAGTGAAAATTGGGCCAGTGTCCAATGAACTGCAGATCTCATTTCTGCCTCCAAGCACCAGTAAAGCACCAGTGCTGTGAACCCCAGTAATGCCCTTGAGCCCTGGCAAGGGTCAGGGGCCTCTGCTTTACAGGCCAGCTCTGGCCATCCTCTCACTGCACCCCACCCACCCCATGGAGTGTGCAATCGACATGGCCAAGGAGATAAGCCTGCCCCAGAGTCCACACCCCACACACCAGACCCAAATCCCAGGACTTAGGAATCCATAATTCTCTGTTCTATAAGCCCCATCCCATCTGCAGGTCTGCCCATCCATCCTCCTGAGGGCAGACTGTGCCATCAGAATAAACAATCCTGGAACTGAAGCATGGCCAAGGGGTGGCAGGCAGCAAGAAGAGAAGCAGGAAAGCCGGCAGGTCAACTTTCCCAAGGCCTCCACATTTCTGCAGCAGCTCATGAGAGTTCAAGTCAAGAGTGTACCCTTGTAGTTGAGACCAAGGTCTATGTCAGAGCATAAAACACATCCCATTTCATTAGCTTACTATCCCACATGTGCTATATAAGTGTGACCATTTATACTTTTGACCAGAGCCTCACAAGAGTTAAAGGTAGGCCTGGAGAAGGCACATGAATTGAAGAGTCCACGTGCCATGCTCAGTTGTAGCAAGAGAGTGTTGGTCCTCAGACATACAGTGAAATTAAATTGAAGCCAAATAGGTATTGAAGAGGGCAACGTGGGACAGTACTACTGTTTCCCATGCAGTTCACAGGACCTTCTTCCCCACTCTCAGGCCAGTAGGTTAGAAATCAGCTTGAGTCTGTGGCCAAGTCACCCAGAATGTCTTGTCTTATCTTGTCTTGCCTCATCTTGGATGCTAAGCAGGTTCAGGCCTGGTTAGTACTTGGACAGGAGGAATCAGCTTGAGATCAGCCTCCTGCTGTCGTCCTAAGAGGCAGAAGTACACCAATGAGTAATTCAGGCTGTGGACCCGCCAGGTCTGACTCTGAATTAAGTTCTGTCACTTATAAGCAGTAACCCGGGGCCAAGTTATGATCTTTCTGAGCCTTCACTTTCCAGGTATAAAATGACATTTTGCTATTGGAACTCTTATGAGGAATAAAGCAGATAAGACAAGTGAAGCACTCTGCAGTGTCCACCACGTGGTTGGTGCTATCATTAGTTTCATTTGTAAGTTTCTAGAGAATAGAAACTACATCTGCTCTGGGTTCTCTTAAATCACCCAGCATGTGTACAAAATATAGGAAAATTATATCAGTAAGCCACATAGATTTCCAACTATCCAGATTGTGCATACTCCCAACAGAGCCAATTAACTGGGTTTGTGCTGAGTAATCCTAACTAAGTCAAAGTGAAAGTACAAACTGATATAAAGAAGTTCAATTCCTGCCAGATCCACTGGTGCACAACTATAATCCCAGATAATGGGGAAACCGAGGCAGCAGGATTGCAAGTATTAGACCAGCCTCAGCAATTTGATGAGACTCTGTCTCAAAATATAAAGGTCTGCGGATAAAGTTCAGTGGTACAGCAACACCACTGAGTTCAATCGCTAATACTGGGGGGAGAAAAAAAAAGTTCAGTTCCATTCACACGAAGACTCAAAGTAACACACATCTCCTTAGTTTAGAAAAGTTTAATTCTAAACTACATAGTAAAATTTCACCAAGTTCTTAATTTCATATATGAATAAGATTACATCAGATTACATGGGGTATGAGAACAGAACTTTGGTATTCCAAAATTTGACCACTGGTCATAAATAAAATTTCTTCTTACAAACCTAAAAAAAAGGAAAAGGAAGGAAGTTGGGATAAGACTAGATTCTCCATCTAGTACATTAGGATTTCCTAGTACAGTTTGGGAACTGGTGGCTTTTTAAGTTAACTATTCCATGCCCTTGTTTACAAAATTCTTTTCTCCATGGCTGACCAAATTTGTAGAGGACAGTGATGCTGCTAATAAGAGATGCTTTCTACTCAGGACTTAGGGTTAATACACCTCTCTCTTCAGGGCATCTCTAAGACACTCTCCTCCCCTAGAGAGCTTAAAGGTTCTAGAAAAATGAAGTGCCTTCTACCAAACAATTAGAATTTGTCTTGCAAAAAAAGTTAAAAGTAATAATTCAAAGGATGAGCTGAGACTGCTAAATACAGTCTGGAGCCAAAAAAATCTGGGAAATCCCACATAGGATCAACAAGCTGCACTTGGGCAATTCATTGAAGCATTGCAAGCCTCACTTTTCCCATCTGTGAAATGGTGATAAGGCTGACTTAACAGCTGCTGTGATGATTAGAGGGGGGAAAAACTATGCCTCATCCCCAAACAAGACCTGACCACTGCATGTGGCTAGGCAAAGAGATTAAGAGTACTCAGTAATAAGACTTGCCCACTTACACTCTAGGACCAGGTAACTTTGTCCTGCCCACTGCCTTTTCAGGGACAACTGGTCTACCTGTGGACCAGCTATAAACAATAAAGGTTCTCAAATAGGGGTATGCAGAAGAAGAAAAGATGACATAAGAAAATAAAGCTCCACAACTCCAGGGAAAACTCAATAGAAAAAGCATTCAAAAATGTATCTGTGACTTAAGTTCATGAGTATCACTGGTTCTTCAAAAGCAAATTATTTTTAATATTTTGGATGCTTGGGGTAGAGCAGAAGAGGGTAGAATACGAAGTACACAAGACTTAAATATGTAATATAACCATTTTCTATCACATAGGAGATTGGAATTATTTCAAAAGGTGCACATAAAAATATGCATTGTTTTATATAATAAACAGTAGAAGCCAAGCACAGTGACTCAGGAAGCTGAGGCAGGAAGATAAGAAGTTAAGCAACTTGGCCAGACCCTATCTCAAAATTCAAATATAAAAAGGGCTGGGATGTAGCTCATGGCAGAGTACCTCCGAGTTCAGAAGTAGAAATAAAGTTCTATATTGCGAAGATTAATAAACACCTGGGAGGGAATTGCTGAGCAGATGCCCATGGTAGTGATAATGGTGATGCCTGCTTTACCGTCTTCCAAGTGACAGGCCCTTAATGTAACTTCCTCCCCGCAAACCCCAAAACAATCGTTAGTACGGATGAGAGTAACTAAGGTCTGAGTAAGTCAGCCACAGCTCACGTCCACCCAGCGGGCCCGGGCGACTCGGCGGCGCGGCCCGTGCGCGGGCCCCACCCGGCGGCCTCAGTGTCCATCCTGGGTCCCTCCGCAACGCCCCTCGCAGCTCAGGAGCCCACAGGCCGGAGCGCCCCGCTGCGAACCGCCCACTGCCCCCGGGGACGCAGGGACCTCAGCCTCGACTGCAGCCGCCACAGCCCCACTTACTCCCATCGCGGAGCAAGGCTCCTGCAGCTCGCAGGGCCGCAGCCATGTTTGTGCCGGCAGAAAGCATTTCCGGGGCAGCCTCGACCGGGCTCCTGAGCTCCTCCCGCAGCGGCACGCTCTGGTACCGGCCCAACCAACACCGAACCTGGGGAGCGCTCCCCACCCGAGCACCGATCCCTTTTCAGGAGCCGCAGCACCCGGCACCCTCGCGGCGCGCACGCTCATTCGCTGCCCGGCGGGGGCGGGGCCCGACGGGGACACGCCCCTCTCGGGAAGTCAGCTCATTCGCTGTAGGGTCGAGGAGGGACCGCGGGGTGGGGCCAGATGGGGACACCTCCCACGCCGAGACTCGTCCACGCTTGGCCTACTCTGTGGGAGGGCGTGGCTGAGAGCGCGGTCCTGGCTAAGAGACCCTGGCTGGGAGCTGACCACTACGTGAGAAAGTCTCCAGGCCTGGGCTAGTGGCCACCTTCCCTCCATCTCAGTTCAGTGCACCAAAGTGCCACTCAACTCCTTGCCCGGGACCAATCTCCTGGTTGCATCTGCCAGTCTAGCCGAGGTAGGAATGGCAGCATGATTTCGTGAGACTCTAGACATTTCCATCACTGTTACCTAAATATGAGGATGATTTTGCCTCAGTTGTCCAGTTTGCCTGCCTACTTATAGCCTAAGTGAACAGACTCTTTTTTTTTTTTGCTTTGTTTTCAGGATAGAAAAAGGAAGTGTTTTATATCATGCACTCGTGTGACTATTTGATTTCTCAGCAGCACCTCTAAAGTAGCAGTTTTGCAGGTGACAACAAACAGTGAACATTATACCGCTGATATGAGAGTGTTAGGAAAAGTGAAGTCCCGGCTGGCAAGTGCATTTCTTGGAAGCTTGTTATAGTAAGGTTTGACCGGATCATTTCCGTGCACCTTCCCAAATTAGCGGCCCCATCCCCAATTTCTTGTTCAGAGGAATCCGTACACTTTTTTAACAATTCCTACATTCCTGCACCTCCACCAGTCCATATATGTTCAATGTGTCGTGGGGTATAAGACCAGTCCTTGGTACACAAAGTTCTCAGGAATCATTCATTCGTTGAACAAATATTGAGCACCTATTGTGGCAATGGGTGCTGGGCAAACAGCAGTGAACAGAGAAGACCAACTCTCCTGTAGAGTGTTAAGGAGAAAAACAGGAAATAATCTTGACAGAATATTTTGATTGATGATGAGCAGTTAAGAAAAAGAATGAAGCAAGGTAAGGGGATGGAGGGGGGCTATTGTAATTTGAGTTCCATGGATCAGAGAAGTCCACTGACATTTGAGCTAAGGCCTAAAGGAATTAAGGGACCAAGTCATGTGGAATATTCAGGGAAGTCAAAAGTCTAGATCAATTTGAAAACCAGATTTTGCAGCTATAATTTGTGCTCTTGATTGAATTAATTTATTGGTTTCTTTATAACTATAAGCCCCATGCAAAATGTCAAAATTAAACAGATTGTCATTCATATTACCTCCATGATCTTCTAATGCAAGCATGGCATTTCTTGAGAAAAAGTAATAAAATTTGCTACAAGTATCAAACTGCCATCCTGGGCATTTTGCTAATTCTTGACTCATAGCCAAAATTATGTGAGTTTGAAGTTGCACTTTAAAGAGGTGATCTTTATAGATAATATACTTTTCTACATAGAGCCAGAACCCACTTTTTTTCTAAATAAACTGCATAAAAAGACTCTACTCCATATTCTGAAATGCTGTGCTGGAATAAGTATAGACGAGAGAATTAGAAAAGGCCAGAGGTTCAAGAGGTCAGATCTATATGAGATCTTCCTGGTCACCTCTGGGGGGCCCTGGTTAAGTCACTCCTCTAGGCTTGTGCTGAGCCCCAACTGCTAGGTAGAGATAAGAGGAGTTTCTGGCCCCTTCCAGGGAAATGCTGATGATTAGTGACAAGGCATAAAGGTTCCAAACCTCATAAAATCAACAGTTGGGACAGATTAGGTTTGTGTTCAACCACAAAGGAGAAAGGAACTAGCAAAATTTATTATATGTATCAATGTAACAATATTTTTAAATGAATTAGCACCATTTTATTCACATAGTGCACCTATTATGGACTCAGGTTAAAACTGAAGATAGAACTTCACAATCTGGCTTCAACAGAGAGTACATACAATTGTTATTTCTAATCTATGGTTTATTTCTTACAAGCACCAAAGACAACAGCTTTCCAAAGAGTAACTTTTTATGTTCCTATGAAAGGACAGCAGATAAAATATGCTTTTATACAACTTCTTTTCAAAACTGGTAGAAAATATGGCCCTTGACTCAAAAATTGTGAGTTCTGATGCAGGTTTACTAAGAAAATCAGAAGAGACCTTGAAAGACTAAAGGAATTTGCAGAACTATAATGGGGAAACAATACACACACACACACACACACACACACACACACACATTTTTTCCTGGCTTACACATTTTTAACAAAATTATATACCAATTTCATTAGCAAACAGAAGGCTAAAAGGCACAGTCTCTGGGCTGCCTCAGATAAGCAGCACCCCTGCCACAAGGGAGAGAGTTTATCTCAGCCTGGGTGACTTAATTAGTAAATAAAGCACTTGCCTGTCACCAACAACACTCTAGTTCAGCGTGTGATTCTAAATAAAATTAATTTGTTGGTTTCAGCTCAATGCTTCAGGAAAGCAGGGAGAGGATCCTCTAATTCATTATTTGCCATGATTGGCACCTCTGAGCTATACAAACTAAATTCAGATTACTCAACTCTGTGCCTATAATCAGAAAAAGAATGGGGGAGGGGATTCAGTGCAAGAAAAACAGTGGCTGCATGTGACAAATGGTAAGCTATAGTGATTACTCAGAAAAATCTGATCGATTGTCTCCACCATCGTTTTATGACAAAGAAGCACCAAATCTAGGTCAAAACAATGTACATTTTGACTAACCCTTTTTAACTGAATGTTTCACATATTTACTGAATGTTCACCACGAGTAAAGCATTCTATCAAGTAATATGGAGGATAAAAGCTTGAAAAAGTTAAGAAGAAAATTGTGCACAAAAGTAATTCATTTGCTGGGCACTATGGTGCATGCTTGTAATCCCAGCAACAGGGGAGGCTGGGGCAGGAGGATTGCAAGTTCAAAGCCAGCCAGCCTCAGCAACTTAGCAAGGCCCTAAGCAACTCAGTGAAACCCTGTCTCTAAATAAAATACAAAAAAAAAAAAAAAAAGAGCTAGGGATGTGGCTCAGTGGTTAAGTGCCCCTGAGTTCAATAACTGGTACCAAAAAATAATAATAATAACTCATTCACTGATGAATAAATACATGGGAAGTCAGCTCTCTGTCAGGTGGGTGGCAGGCACTGGGCATGCAGAAATAAGTTGGAGTCTCTACCCTCATGGAAATAATGTTCTGGTCGGCAATCATCTGAGGACAAAGATAAAAGATATACAATATAATATCAAGTATAGCTAGAGGACTAGAAGAGAAAGCAGAGACAAAGGAATGCAGAGAGGCTTGAATGCAGAGAGGCTAGTTTGTGTAGCACAATCAGACAGTCACACCTCTTTGCAAACATAACATCTAAGCAGGGACCTGAAGGAGGGAAGAAGTTTGGGCAATCCTTGGCATTGCTTGGCTGGCAGCAACTGCAACACACCAATCCCTTCCTCCAATGTCATATGGCCATCTCCACATGTCAACTTCCCCTCTTATCAGGACACTAATCCTATTGGATCCCACACCTAACAGCCCTATCTTAACTTTATTATATCTATAAAGACCCTATTTCCAAATAAGGTCCTATGTACAGATAGGTATTAGGATAGCAACATATTTTAGGGGGACACAATTCAACATGTGATAGGCTGCTGGGGAATAGCAAAGAGGCCATGTGGACTGAGCAGAGTGAGTGGGTGGGGTGGGGTGAGACAAAGGCCCACTGATGCAGAACTTAGGTGATGACGATCTTCTGGGTGACCTCCCTATAGTAGTGATGCTCAGGTTCCTGAAGGTTCACTTTGTGGAGCAGAGGGGACATGGGAGTTCCTGAGCCAGCATTAAGACATGTTCTGCACCACCTAATACTTTCATTTACACTAATACTTTTCATTTATTGTTTTGATCTCAGTTTTGGTAAAAGTTGTTGTTTGGAGACTTCCCTGCTCCAAGTGGTGATGGAAGGTTCTTATAGAGCCTTTCTGCTTTCTGCAGGACCTAGGGCTCTCATCCATCTTGGACAGGTTGATATTAATTTCTCTGCTTGGTAGTCCTGCTCCTTGAAGATGTGCGAGTTCAAAACCCAGGGAGTAGATTCTTCCCAGAAAGCTTTTACTCCATATCCAGAGCTCTGGGCAGATGGTAAGTTCTTTGTCTTCTTCTGAGCTATAGGACTAGGATTCAGAATTTCTTCTCACAGAAGCAACAGGCCTCAGAAGCTCCTTTCCTACAGTTCATGGCCTAGTTCCACCTTCTTGTTCTTGCATGGCCCTTCTAGGAGCTTCCCTATTCTATAAGAATGCTGTTCTTCTTCTTCTTTTTTTTAATCTTTTATTTATTTATTTTTGTGTGGTACTGAGGATTGAACCCAGGACCTCACACATGCAAGTTGAGCTTTCTATCACTAAGCCACAACCCCAGCCCTAAATGCTGTTTGTGAATGAAACTTTAAAAGATTCCTCAATGCCTTACCTGGTTCAGTTCTCCTCCAGCCCCATCCCATTCATAGCTGAATCTGAATGTGCAAAGGGAATTCTTTTTATGTCATTGTAACCTAACAGCTCTGACTTTGATAACCTCTCTATCTCCTCCCTCCAAATCTGATGCCCTGAGATGTCTTTTTTCACACTTAGCTAAGACTGGGGAGGTGTATTATATTTATCCAATGAATGTGTATGTAGTAAGGAACTCACTGGTGAGCAGAAGTTTCCCCCAAAAAGTAAGAACTGATTTCTGGCTGAGTGAGCAAAGAAATGCTTTTTATCAAAGAGGTATTAGAATTTACAAAAGGAGGAAGAGTAAAATATTCTGGATGTGGGGAGATACTATGGAGGTAGACCAGAAACAGATAAAGAAAAATTAGTTTCACATCCTCCATACTGTATTTAATTTCACCTCTGTGATGGTGTACTAGAAAAGATCTCTGCCACCTAGAGTACAGCCCTTGTTAACCATTTAAAGAATGTTTGTCCAAAACTGATTGTA